ACTAACCGCACCGACCACGCGAGACACGCCGGCCACATCTCGCTCGAACGACGCTACCACGGCCGGACTGCCATCGTCGACCGCCTCGTCCAAGCATTCCGGTCACCTCCCCTTTTTCCCGCCACCGGATCTCCTCGGTTTCTCACCCGCTTCTCACAGCTTCGTCCCTCAGACTCGTCCCATTCATGGCGGGGTCTCCAACTGCGAACACGGCCAACCTCACTGCGCAATCATCCGCTCCGCCAACGCGTCCCTCAATATCAGCGCATCCCCCGTCGAAGACTCCATGCACACTGGCCTCAATGGCTGATGCATCCCCAGATCCACTCTACGACGCACGACGTCTGGACCCACCTCCCACAACAGATTGTCATCAAATGGGACGCCGACGTCGATGAGTATGTTGTGGAGGATGCAAACGGCGACGAATTGTTCCGGCAAGCTGTCCATGTTGCACTTGTGGGTGCGGAGGAACAACCTCCACATCCCCTTCAGTCTGCCAAACGCCCTCTCCAGTGCTCTTCTGGCCGTCTTCTGTTTGTTGTCGAAGCATGCCTCTGTCGGGTGTTGTGCGAGACCGCCGTAAGGGACGACTATCCATTCCGACTGCGGATAACCGTTGTCGCCGAGTAAGTAGCCATTAGTCCGCACACCGAAAGCCAGCATCACAGGCGGCCCAGTGAAAAGTTGTCCTGACTCCGCGCGCACCCACAAACTCGACAGGTTCAGCATCCTCATGTCATGCGCACTCCCCGGATAACCGACGAAGACGTCCAGCACACGCAAGTTCATGTCGACCACCACTTGCGCCTGCACGGAGAATCGACGTCTCCTCTCGCAGTAGTCCTCACCGTTGGCGTTCGCAGGTTTGTCGATGTAGATATGTGTGCAGTCGATGCACCAATGGCAGTTTGGAAACCCCTTGTCCGCGAAGGCACGCAACACGACCGCCTTCTGCAAACCTGTGGGCCATGATATCTTGTCGGAGTAAGCAGTCAGCAACGCCGTTGTGACCTCACGCACCGCCGTGATGCCGGAAGCCCTCCCGATGCCGAAGCTACACGTCCCGATGTCGTACGTCTCCCCCGTGGCCCACCTGTACAGTGCATAGGCAATGATGTGGTCTGGCTGCAAAGGCACCCTGTAGAACGTCACACGGCGTTGAAGGAGTGGGGAAAGAGTCTCCGTGATCTCGCGGAAAACACGAGGCGACATTCGAAGCTTCTCCTTGAAGTAATCATCCATTGCGTCATCACATTGCCGCAGATCCTCCCATGTGCCGCCCGTTCGCCGCTTCACCCACCACCGTGGAGTCGCCCGTGGAAACCCCCCGCACCCCATCGCGTCGCAGACCTCCAGCACCGCGTCGGAAATGGCAGCCACATCCAAGCACTGGGCAGTCGTCGGAAGCGCCAACAGCTTGCGCCGTGCACAAACAGCCGCTTTGAAGTTTGCGTCATTGCTCGCCATCTGGCAGCGGAAGAGGACGGCATTAACCGCCGCAGCAATAGCCGTCCTCTCCGCCGTCGTCAAACCGTCGTGCCCTGCCCCGCCGTCAACGTCCATCCCAGACGCCGCTTCCGATGACATCACGTCAATCAAACCATTAGACTCCACAAACACCGCCACGCGGAAGATCACAGCGTCGGTGGCTGTGCAATATCTTGGGAACCACGCGGTGACGATGGTCGTCTGCCTTTCCCAACGCTCACGTATTGTCATCATCTCCCTTGCCGCCAACGAGTAGACGACCGTGCTCATCGATGACAACCGCAGGGGACAATCGTCACTTATTGTGAACGCCACGAACGCCAGCCGCAGACGCTACCAGGCGTGAAACGTACATCCACCACGCGCCGCCGATCGCAAAGCCTGATTTCGAATTTCAAATTTTGAACAGGAGCGCTGCGCGCCATTTCCAAGGGCCCCGGTTTTGTTTTTTTCTCGTTTGCCGCCCTCCTTCGAATTCGCGACGACCAACAAAGGTGGACCAGCGCCGTCCGCACGAACACAACTCGGTGGACCACCATCAGCCCCACCCCCGCGTTCGCTTGTGCATATATAAATCGGGGCCGCGGGAGCCCCGAGGAATCATCCTCGGGGGTCGACTCCGAGGATGAGTGGACCGAAGTCGACAATTTCCTCGGGCGACTCCGAGGAATCGTCCTCGGGGCCCGAGGACGCCCCGAGGAGTGTTGAACGAGCCCCTGAGGCTTTGCCTGGCGGGCCACTCCATCTATTGGTGGGGAGCAACACCTGCTGGAAACCGGGTCCAGCGTCCCTAAATACATCTTTACAAAACAACCCATCTTGAAAGTGGCGCCATTGTGCTGGAAAACCGGGTCCAGCGTCCCATATCCAATCTATTTTTCCATACCTATCCTGCAACAGGATCGGTTATTGGGGGGGAAACACCGGGGGGCACCGGTGGAGTCTCCTCCCATCCCCTAGCCTCTGCCATCCAACTACTATCCTCATGGCGCCTATTGTGTCTTTGCACTCTGCAGTAGGGTATGTTGAAAAAGGCTGAAACAACAGAAAAGGTTGAAATGAGCTACACTGAGCTGCACTTAGATCAGCTGAAAACATGCTAAATCCTACTATATTCCTCTACAAAGCACCTAGTTGGATGTCTCTAAGTCCCCAGATATTCCTCCAGAACCAGCGGGTGAGGGGGAAAGGGATCACCGAAATCCTGTACGGGTCTCAACCGCTCTCTGGGATTCACCCTTGTCCAGTCCTTAAAGTGAATTTGATAGTCTCTTTCCACGTCTTCCTCTTGTCCCTCTCCATGTCCTTCGTTCTGCTGGTCCAACCTGTCTCCTGTCCAATTCACCCTCGTGACCCAGCCCTCCCTCTCCCCCCCCAGCCAGCCTTCACAGAACCGGGAGATAATGTTTTTAATGTCACCTCTGCTGTGCACCTGACTCAAATTTTCCTTAACTCTCTGCCATTGTGCCGTGATCTCATGCTGGAAGAGCAGCCGTATCTGTTCTGTGACTTCCCCCTCTTCCACCCTGGCTCCCTCTAATTCCAGGATGCATCTTCGCCACCATATGGCCCATAGGACAGTACGCCTGCCCAGAGAGTACATATTTGCTACAAAGGCGTTGTCGTGAAAATGGGGGTAGTGTCCGAGCAGGATTGCCCTCCAGTCCCAAGGCCATAATGAGCCTGGAACGATGTGCCGCCATATCCTATCCCACCATCTCCATTACAAGACCGTTGCAGGGCATTGCAGGAAAATGTGCTCGATCGTCTCAGGGCGCTTTTTTTCCGGGGAAATTTTGGCGGCAACCCCGACATTAGGGGAGCGCCCTTCTTTGTTGTTCGAGCTGTGTATGATCAATCAGCCAGTCATTGTTCGGTAGGCAGCGATGAGTGATTTGCCATTGAAGAGCAGAGATTTTTGCCGGCCTTTTCTGATACTCGCTGAACCATTGGATAGGTTTGAGTGTGCTTCTGTCTACATTTAGATGGTGCTGCCATCTGTCCGCCACCACGTCTTTTAGCCCACGCTTGGGTCTGAGCATTTGGTAGACGGACTTCGTTTTTAGGGTGGCTAAATGGACTGTTCTTTCCTCCCCCCGTCCCTGCCCTCCCCTGCCTTTCCACGACCATCGTCATTCTTGGGGATCAAGGGGGAGGTTCTCAATTGGGATCATTGGACGATACGCTCTCCAGCCTTTCCCCTCTTCGATCACCCTGATGCGATAGACCTCTGATTTCCTTTTCCAGATGAAAGGTTGTCTACTCTCTTGCAGCTGCCCTGTTCCCGTGATAGCGTAGCATTCAATCATGACTTGTGTCTGATCCACTATGTGTATTCGGCCTATTCGTGATTCGTGGCCAGGTGACCCCACCCAATCGCCTTCTTCCAACGTTGGACCTTTCTTAAACCTAGTGTACCATTGGATGGGGAAACTTTCGATAAGTTCTTCCATTGTAGACTCGAGTGAGTGGTAGTAGTGCAGACATCTTTTTATTTTTTTTATTTTTTTTATTAAACAAAGCTCCATCTATTGGTGGGGAGCAACACCTGCTGGAAACCGGGTCCAACGTCCCATAGATACAACCATATCCTTAGAAACAGGCACAAACTGGGAACCGGGCCCAGCGTCCCATAACAAGTACGTTAAGAAAATTCAACCAGAACATCTAGAAGGATGACATTTAAAACATGAGATACCGGGACCAAGCTACTTCAGACATGTCAATGACAACATCATGATTAAGCAAAAATCAAAATGTCTCAGAAAACTCCCCACACACCACTTCACCTCCCTCCGGCAAGACTGCCCGCAGCAGAGCCACCATCTCTGCTGCTGCTATGCCATACTCCCATCCTGCCAGCTGGCCCCCTCACTGGTAGGACGCGTGATAACCCACCATCTTCTCCAACTCACCTTTTTTCATAAACATTTATGATTGAGCTCTTTTACTGCACAACCTAGTCATTGAGAAAGACGAAAGGTGAAAGTAAAAACCTGAGTGAACTACTAC